TGCCAAAAGGTCCTCACAGTCGTCACTCGCCATTCCCAACAACTTTGAACAAGGACTTCATGATTTGACTTTTTGAACTGTGCATGTGCAAGCGCTGCAAGATTCGGACGCAAACAGTTTTCGGTTTTGTCGCCTTTGACGCTCTCCATTTTGTTTTGCATCGCAACCCCTGGAAACGAAGTCGAATCAGATTTTCGGAATGCAAAACCCTGAAAATGCCCTTTTTCGGCACGCACTTTTTTCGGAAAAGCGCAGTCGAAAACATTCCGAAATTCGGAATGCAAAAGGTCTCTAAAGTTTGCCCTCGAATTCAAACCTGTCAAAAGACGTTGACGTCACTTTCATCCCACCCTGGCGGCAAAGACGTTTGATGAAGTGTGTGCTCTGCTGAGTGTCATTATACAGTTTGTTGATCAGCAAACACGGTGTCATACCCGTTTACAGCTTGAATACAAAATCAGTTTAATCCGGGAGAGGATAATGGATTTCTGTACCAAGCTCGAACGAGCTGCAGGTCCAAGCCAGTTAAGAGACCATTTAGAACATGAGTGGCGCGTGATCAGCAATGTATTGCATTGCATTGTACTGTATTTCCCAGATTTTCCCAGAAGCTCAAAGCCTGTCGGGGAGGGCTCCTACTCACAGAAAGCGCTGGCGCTTGAGAATGCGTAAAAGAGTGCACAGAACGAAAACACCTAAATTGAGCAAAGCCTGGCTGTCCTTTTTATGTAGGAAAAAATGATCGTGAAAATCTGGTTCTCTTTTCCGCAACTGTGTGTGTGTGTATATCATGTAGGATCGTTGACGGCTGGGGAGCAGCACTGCTACTATAGCCATGACAAGACAACAGTTGATCGGGCTAGTATGGCGTGTGAGGACAGGGGAACACGACTGATGACGTTGGACGAATTACTAGCAATCCGGAACAACATCCTCGCCGACGACGAAAGCTTCGTCGATCGCTTTATCTGGGTGTTCAACCCAGTCACAGCTGCTCCACTAGCTGTCAAGATGAGGACACGTGAACAGAGGAATGACCTGGTCACTGCTTACATCATTTGCAAGTCATCAAGTGAGTACAGTGCTCAGATCCAGCATAACATGTTGCCTCCGTCAGGTGTTTAGCCTCTACATGGAGCAACTTGCAAAGGCCCTATAATCTTTGGATCTTATTGGTCAGTCCATGCATGGTTTGACCAGATGACTTAGGGATAGGGGGTTCAGTGCCTGGTGTGCACCCAGAACAGAATGCTAGAGGGCCAAATCCACTTGGAAAAGTTATATATGTGCACGTGAATTTGTTGCAACGGTGCTGTATAACTGCCCAATAACAGACCTGCTGCAGCAGTAAACACTGACAAGTTGCTTGTATTTAGAAATGCAAAACTGTTAGTTTTTCATTGATTATTTCCTTGTGGTGAATTGTTTGTCCTTCTTCTCTTTAGCCGCACTTGAAAAGAAGAGAAGTTGCTGGACCAATGACACATTTAGCATCTTTCCCAAATCTCACCAGCACTTGTATACAAACTATTCCCAAGCCATACATGTCTGCGAGAGTCCACAGCAGGCTAATTCAATTATACCGCTCCCCTTCCTGCACTATTGCCTGGATTCAGTGTCACGCTGGACGCTGACCTACAACTCATACTGGATACTTCAACAAGACATTCTCCATCCTGCTCGTGCCAACGATCTGCAATCGCATCCCGAAATGGAAAGACGTCAGAGGATTTGCTGGAGAAGTAAGTACAACATTACCACTAAACTAGCTACAACTGACATAACTCCAAAGACGAGACAAGGTAGAGTGATCTTTTTTTTCATTCTGATTCTTTATGAAATAGAGGTTGCGACTTGGGAGATGATTTTGTTTAGGAATGGGTTTGCTCCCACACTGGAGCTCGCGCTATTCCGCCGACTTGACTTGACACTTGACTGACTCGCACCTGCCATCCAGAGAACATGAGTAGTCCATCGAGCACTGTGTATTGAGCAGGAGTTGTACTTTCTTGCAGGTTTGCCGAGTCTAAGGTTCGATGGACTTTTCGTGTTCTCTGGATGGCAGTCGTGAGCCAGTCAAGTGTCAAGTCAAGTCGGCGGAATAGCGCGAGCTCCAGTGTGGGAGCAAACCCATTTCTAAACTGAATCTTTATAATAACAATAACGAGAGCAAAATTCATTATGCCGTCATCGCCACACAATAATGAGGGCCATGCTAGTTTTTCAAAACCAATTTTCATGTCACATTCATTAGTGGAATGTCAGGACTGAATGCTATCCATACGGAACAATGATTGAGAGTACATTCAATAACTTGTTACGAGAACAAAACAAAGTGCTAGATAAACAAGCAGAAGGGTTACACGATAAAAATTATGTTGATACTGAATGCAAGGAGTGGGGGGGGTAGTAACGCCAGAACTGCGCAGTGAGACAAACATGCTGTGAGATTACGGAAACAATCGTTCTTACTTTTTGTCTCCCTCTATCTGTGTGTCTGTCCGTCTGTCCGTCCGCCCGTCCGTTCGTCCGAGTTCTCCATAGCCCAAACAGCAAAGGCACAACCCCACATGCCTTTCTATCTATTTATCTACATTCAGGCATGGTTTAAATCTGGCTTGGGAATATTTATTTTCAGAGTTCTTTCCGCAGATTGAGTATCTATCTATTTTTTAGAAATGTCACCACCAGCTCTCGAACCAGGGACATTGACTTGATTTCAAATGCATCACCATTAGTGTGCAAAGTGAATCGTTCTGGTTGACATGCAATGTGCATGTTGAAACATTCACACATAGTGCAGGTGGCTGGCCAGAAATGACCTTGAGTTGTAGCCTCAAATGCCCCGATGCATTTAGCATGTTCTTTTCATGCTCCTGTTTATTATGTGTCCGCACAGAGCGTCCCTGGGATGATCAGTTCACTGTGAAGCATGAATGTCGCAACTACGACCTTTACTATGTCATCAAAAAAGCCAGAAGCAGCTATGATCATGCCGCAGACGAGTGTAGACAAAGAGATATGACACTTCCTTTCACAGAAACTAAGGAGTGTCTTTCATTGTTTGTCAAGAAACTTGCTATACTTCCAGCTTGGATCTATGGTGAGGCAAGCACCAGTAATGATCCCCATGCTGTGCAAAATGGCCAACTAAAGTCTGTCATCTGCGCTAAAGGTAAGGACAATCCCCAGTTGAGTGATGCAAGATCTGAGTTGAGTGCTCCATGGGATTTGGGTTGAGTGCTGCAGGGGATCTGTTTTGAGTGCTGCAGGGGATCCGGGTTGAGTACTGCAGGGGATCTGGGTTGAGTGCTGCAGGGGATCTGGGTTGAGTGCTGCAGGGGATCCGGGTTGAGTGCTGCAGGGGATCTGGGTTGAGTGCTGCAGGGGATCTGGGTTGAGTGCAGCGGGTGATCTGGGTTGAGTGCTGCAGGGGATCTGGGTTGAGTGCTGCATGGGGATCTGGGTTGAGCGCTGCGGGGGATCTCAGGCTGGATTGAGTGCTGCGGGGGATTTGGGTTGAGTGCTGCGGGGGATCTGGGTTGAGTGCTGAGGGGGATCTAGGTTGAGTGCTGCGGGGGGATCTGGGTTGAGTGCTGCGGGGATCTGGGTTGATTGCTGCGGGGATCTGGGTTGAGTGCTGCGGGGGATCTGGGTTGAGTGCTGCAGGGGATCTGGGTTGAGTGCTGCAGGGGATCTGGGTTCGTTATCTTTATAGCCCAGTGGCCAACTGCGTTTGATACAGGGCACGGAATGACAGTTTCGAGGCTGATTTGGAACTTAATCTCAAGTACAAGGGGTAAATTTGTGATGACAATCCCCCCTTCACCACCTCCAACACCTGAAAAACCATGTTTACGTAAAAACTGGGCACCCGGTTTTTTTACCCCAGAAATGGGGTACTATCAATAGTACCCCATTTTTTCGGGCTGGGGATGACCCTAACACAAAACCGGCTCGACACATACTACTGACACCAATACACACGAAACTTTCCCCTTTTACCCCACTTCACACACTTCCACCATGTGCACAATTACACAACTGCAAAGACCGAAACGAGACCGACCCAGGGAGCACCCATCACCCACACCAGCCGTGAGTATGTTTTTTGGAAATGTGCCCTTACCGGATTTTGCTCGGTAAAGCGCTGAATTCCGCTTTCCAATATCATTCAGATTATGGCAGTGAATATGCTACATCAGTGCTCCCAGAATATCATCAGGTGCTAATTCAACTACACGTCCATTCATAACACTAAAGAAAGACAGTGAAACCTCGTTAGGAAGAACACTGATAAGACAAATGTTTGCCTATGAAGAACTAGTATTCGTAGCTGTATTGGATAACGCCCTGTGTATTCACTTGGCAAAACATACGAATAAGAAGAACTCCCGTTATTGCGAACATGTATCATCGATCCCTTGATGTTTGTCCTAAAGAGGTTTGACCGTATGACCAAATTTTATAACCTGTCACTGCAGGCCGCGTGACGCATTCACCCTAGTTGGTTCAGCCTTGTCCCCCGGTTGCCACTTGTTCACTTGCGCTTTTGTAATTCCTGCCCGCTTCAAAAATGATGCTTTAAGGTTTATCATCACTGCAGGCTTCACCATGCAACATCACAAATTGTTACAGATTTACATGTACATATTTCCTGGATAATCTTGGGAAAAGATTTTTTTCTGAAAAGCGATATAATTATGTACTAAATCTAGCACTGCCGACTTTGCGCTAACACAGTTTGTGTGCAAATTTGTGCTTCATGTTTTGTTTTTGCATGCAGAGCGCACTTGGAATGATGTGAAGCAGGAATGTGGTAATTATTATGATCTTCACTTCATCAGACAGGAGAGCGTGGGACACACTTTTAACGAAGCCCAGCAACTATGTCATGAAAGGAGTATGACGATTCCATTAACAGACGTACAAGACTGTGTTTTCTGGTTTGTCACAAAACTTGGCGTAAATCAAGCTTGGATCTTGGACAAGGAAAGCGGCCAGGTTGGAATCAGTGGGAGATCCGCTCAGATGTATCAGCGAACTCGTTGGACGGTCATCTGTGCAAAACGTAAGAACTGTGACTAGGTGATACCCAGGGCAGATTGAGTTTCTTAGAGAGCCAGCTAGGGACCGGTGGATTCTGCTCGAAAAGGTGGCAGATTCTGCTCGAAAATCAGTGAAATTGGCAGAATTATGCAAACCTTATCGCGGGCAATTCCTCGAATTCTGCTCCATTTTTTATCCACATACCAAACATGCATGGAACTTACTAGAAAAAGTACCGAATTCTGCCAATTTTTCTGCCGGCAGAATCCGCCGGACCCTAGAGCCAGCTGTGTGACTTTAATAGAGTTTTTGTTGTCTCTATGCCTGTGTTGCCTGGTAGTATTCCAGTCCTGCTTGTTTCCATTACAGAGATGTTAGAGTTTTTGTTGTGTGTTGTTTGATGATTCAAGGCCACAACTGCATGCAATATTGAATCAGAATCCGCCAGACCCTAGAGCCAGCTGTGTGACTTTAATAGAGTTTTTGTTGTCTCTATGCCTGGTAGTATTCCAGTATTGCTTGTTTCCACAACTGCATACAATATTGAATTCAGCATGGTGTGTTCCATGCCTTGTGACTTGGTATGAAGTTCAGAAAGCACGTGCCTGTGTTACAAACCGCTAATTTCTTAAAGCGCCACCACCGACTTTGTACTAAAAATGTTTCCTGTGGAATTTATATCTCCATGCTTATCTCCTTGCAGGGCGCCTGATGGTGTACAAATGTCGCCGTTACCACCTGTACGCTATAAACCAAGCAACCATCGAACATAGAATGGCCAAGAAACAATGTGAAGATAAACAGATGGCCCTTCCAAAATACAGGACTCAATGTTTTCAGTCGTTTCTCAAGGTACTTGGCACAGCGCTAGCCTGGATTGAAGGACTTCCTGACCGCTATTATAGCGACCCATGGCCCATCGTCTGTGTAAAATGTAAGAACGGCGACTTTTTGTTTGCTGGAATATATATGGGCTCTAAGCCCTCACGGCTCCGGCTGTGCGAACGTTGTGCAGAGCTGGCTGTTTCGATAGCCCATCGGCGTTCGTAATGCTGGTATTGGCTAGACCTATGCCAACGCCGGCTGTAAATTCCTTCTTAAAAGATTACTCTTTAGTAGTGATTTTATTGGTTTCATGTCTGTATTAAGTAGCATCCCGGATCACATTAGACCATGGTGAGCATTGCTGTTGCATGTCAGGAAAAAGATGGCGAGAGGAAAAGGAAAGAAAACGAAAAAGTCAGAAAATACCGTGAAAACCCCACTCCTAGACGAATTCACGGTTCACATCAGGCATCCGTAGTGGCACCGCCCTCTGTGTATCAAGGCGTGGTGAAAAATTAATAAAAAAAATGATGCTGCTTGATAACAAAATGATACAATCCCTGTTTCAAGACCTAGCCTGCTAGAAACTGTCTCAACACAAGCCGGTACAGAAATAGCAACACGAATTAGGATAAATGAGAAAAAAAGATCCTTTGAAAGTGACCGGCTTCATCAAACCTAACCCCAAACCATGTGGCTACACTAATAGGTATTGACACTGAGGGCTGCAATACAATTCTTCACCTTCAACATCCAGGAAGCACTGTCCGACAGGTGAGATTGCCAGCGGGTGAGTTTGTTTCTCCCATTACATTTTTTGCCCAATCTCTGTACAGCGGTATACTGCAACGTGCCTGCTATTGCTAATGGAACAGCCGACAAGACAGCCGTCAGATTTACACACGATGTAGCGTATTCGTGCAATAATGGCCATGCGCTGGTGGGAAATCCGACAGCAAGTTGCAAAGCTGATGGAACATTCACTTCAGTGCCTGTCTGTGAGGCCAGTGAGTACCACTGTGTGCGTGTACACCATGAAAACGGTGCCTGAAAAGAACGTTCATTCCAAGCGCCACTAACTGCAGTCACACTCCACAGAAGCACCGTGAACACACCACCCATTACACACCACCCATCACACACCACCTATTACACACCACCCATTACACACCACCCATAACACACCACCCATAACACACCACCCATTTCACCAATAGTGTTCACGCTTACCGTATTTCCCCGATTATAAGTCGCACCTTTGTACACAAAAATTCAAGGGTGAGAAAGGGGGTGCGACTTACAATCGAGCATGACATACTACTGAAGAGAATATATCGCAACAATATTGCTCAAACCGGAAAATTAGGTGTGACTGATAATCGAGTGCAACTTGTAATCGGTGAAATATGGTCAACACATGCTATTATAATGGGGGGGGGGGGGTGCGCTTATGTCCGGACATACGCGCATGCGCTTATATGTGTGGTAGTGCGGTAGTATCTAGAAACAGTGGTGAACAGTTGCTCTTTACTGTTATCCATAACTTCCTTTTCCTTTTTTTCATTTATAATCTATTTACTGTTGTTCAATGATCTCATCTGTTTATGAATATGTTCAGATGCTGCACTGACCGGCTACCAATATTGCTCTCAGGTTTCGGCAGTCCTGAAACGGACACATGACTACAAGTACTTCAATTATACAACGGCCAAGGCAGTGTGTCACGGTCAGGGTGGTAAACTTCTCACTCTAAATGCATATAAACTTGGCTGTACATCAGAGCTGCTCCATGGTAGCAGTGGTGGCCTCAATCATTATGTCGCCTGGCTTGACCCGAATTTTCCCGGAAGGTATGCTAATGTCACAAAGAAATGGGTGCCGGGACCTCTGTACGGGGTTAGTGAAGTGAAAAACCAACTATACGCTGTGTGCGAATTCCGTAAGTCATCCACAGTTTGTTTTTTGAAGCAAAGGTGCTGTCTACCAAATATAGGCACGTTTGTTGCACCTGGTTTGCTCCTTGCTTTCTTCTGAACCCTCTTTAGGCAACTTGAGTGCATTTTGCCTTGCAGGATGAATGCTGTGGTGGCCAAATGTCAAGTTATTCAATCAACGCCCTTACTGCAGTCAACACATGAGCTCATACTACGTTTGCCCCTGTGTTTTTTCCCTCGATCACAGCTTGTCGTCGTTCGTCTCAAGGACAAGATCACATCCGTAGCATATCAACCAGCGGTGTTGTCACCTGCGATCCTGGATACATCTCATCTAGTGCACCAGTGTGCTCATCTGGCTCATTAATTGCCAAATGCAAACGTACGTAACACTTACACGATTATTTCGTTCAGCTCTTGCCCTCTTACTTCTCATCAAAAACGTGATACATGACCATTGCTAGCGCCAACCTTAGAGTCCATTCATTGGACTCCGCCTGGCATTACAGATAGAGTGTTTAATGAAAATGGGTTAGCAATTACCTAACATATAGATTTGAACTGGTATGTTGAGCCAAAGTAATCCTCGATTTAAAGAAAGGACAGATGACGTTACGAGTCATTGACTTATTGGCCACCAACGAGACCACATCATATACGGTCAGAGAGTGCGACAGAAAGAGATTGTGAGATGAGCTGATTTTATAAAGATCTGGTTACGCTCGTGGACAGTTAGTCATAACTCGTAACATTTTGTCCATTCTTTTAATCCACTTCCTCCGCGTCATTACTATTGTTGCTTCCCGTAGCGGTTTTCAAATGTATTTTCCCCACTCGAAGCAAAGACATCGGCTAGAACTTGGAGCAGAGCATTGTCGACGGACGAAGCTCGAGTTTGTGGCCTCTCGATTCGCTGCACTTGTGGCTGAGGTTGATGTCTACATCTGCGGCAGACCCTGCAGCACTCAAAAAGACGCTGAACAAGAAGTGCGTTCAAATTCAGGTCGTGAAACTTCGTTTTCAAGCGATCCATAACTTCAGGTGGCAGATGATGACTTCAAACCAGTGTCCCGCTGGTGCTCCTCCGGCAGCGACTCCACGAGCCTTTCTTGCAACACACAAAGGCGATGCTTTCCATTGAGTTCTGTGGACTTATAGAACAACGGGTTCTCTTGCAAGTCAAAAAGACATGTCTAGCAATACCTTTGCATTTGCGACTCCGTCACGATCAGGGATGTGTTGGCCTTGATTTCGGCAGAAGATTTCCTTTTCCCCCATATGGGGATCTTCGCCTTTATTTGGCACGCCGTCGTGGTTTCTGCCATCACGCTCCAACAGCGGTCTGCACCACGATCTTTGGTTTTGGGAAGGGCTCTGGCCGTTGTACCAATTCTTATACCACCAGCCTCTACTTGCATGTCATCTGCCATCATGACAAAAAAATAAAACTGCCACCTCAAAAAAATCAGCCTGGCACTGGAAAAGGAAGTTTCGAAGTGGATGCAACACAAAAAGGAGTGGTGGATGACCGTGCGCTATGCTGCACATCTCAACACCGGCCATAAAGTCATAATATTTGGATCGTGATTTTGTGATCGCTCACAGGGAAAGTTGCGTACTTTTGTGCCTGGCCATCGGTACAAAAACCAGTCTGTTACTCAGTAACAGTTTGTGACTGCTCACCGGGTTTTTTGTGACTGATTGGTTACGGGGACCGTGATCGAACACTGACTCCCACGTATACACATAATATAATGAAAAAGATTCAATGTCGGAGGCGGTCTAAACGAAAATTAATGATGAAAAATTCAAGTGATTTTTTGACTATGTAACCAACATGTTCCAACCATCGAAAGTCATGATGACGGAAACCTGAAAGCTGAAAAGGCCTTTCCAACATTTTCAGTAGCTTCGGAATCTGAGCCAGGCAGGCATAGTGGGTTGGTTAAGGACCATGATTGATAGGACAAGCACCTGGTTCAATCCTGACTAGGAGCAAATTTGTTTCTGCCATGCTGCCACCGACAGTCAACTGGAAACTTGTGGTCGGGTTCAGGGGGTACATGGATTCAGCCATTGGCTTTCTTTGGCAATTCTTTGCCATTAATTGTGAGACACATCCCCTCACCCCACCGTTTAGCATTGCATCTGCCACTGGGTTCACCAGTTGTTAGCAGCCGTCTTGAGGTCCTTTAGTCAATGGACTAAATGATTTTACATAAAAACTCAGATGTTGAGCCAATAGTAATACGTAAAGACAAAAGTACCTATAATTCACTAGTTACTACTAGGAGTCAACCAAGGTAACAAGATAATTATACCGTCATAATTTTTCTTTATAGTGCCACAACAAGGCTGCCATTGGAACTTTGCGTACCTGAGCCTTCCACGTTGGAAGGTTGTTGGTTTGCGCTTCGTACATGTGTTGGAGCTAGGTGTCAGGTCGTCGAATGTCTCAATATCCTTGTCAGTGTTGTGCCTCGTTGTCGCACTATCTGACTGTGTATTATCTCGTTACCTTGGTGGACTGTTAGTCATGACTTGTAACTTATAGGTCCTTTTCTCATTACATAATTTTACATCTGGGCTGAATGCGTGGTCTAATTAAAAAAAAAAATTCTAATTCTTTTGTACAGCTCTATACTGTGATGTACCTGCAATTGCTAATGGAACAGCCGACAAGACATCCGTCAGATTTACACATAGTGTAACCTATTCATGCAATGAAGGTCACCCACTGGTGGGGAATCCGACACAAAGTTGCCAGGCTAATGGAACACTCACTTCAGTACCTTCCTGTCATGCCAGTGAGTACAACAACCTGCACCTGCAAATAATGTGGTGCTACCTTTGTGAATGATGATATTCGGCAGGACATGCGTGTATCATGAAAATGGTGTAGGAAAATAGTGTACATTCCGCAAATGAGGGTACAGCACCTGCCCATTAGTTTTCCTTTTGTCCTAGTTTCCGTACCATTGTCTTTCCTTATTCTTTTCGAACTGGTTAGGTGAACATATTTAAAAAAACAAAAAAACGGATCACCGACAGCAGTGACACACCCCAGATACTCTGTGATTTCCATAAGACACATTTTTCTTATATTTTGGCCGGACGTGTGCTCCACTAACTGACCTCGTTTAGACCACCTTGAGGAAATATGCCAGAGTGGTGCCAGTATGTTTGAAAGTGTTCTTAAGCCTCCCCTTGAAAGAAAATTATTTTGGCTTGAGACCGAACATTTATTTGGTGTTTCCGCTATCAAAGAGGAGCTCCCTTCGACCCGCAAAGCTTTGAATGAATCTTTTTTGTTTGTTTCCTGAAATTTATGAACGGCCCCTAACGTGTTCAATTCCGTTGAACGGGCGCTACTTTCAATGTTTTGCCAAATAACTACGTACGAAGCAAAGCAATGGGGTCATAGATACCAGTCCACTTTGTATCACTGTTTTACATAGTTGTAATCATGATTTGAGTTTTGGGAGACTTGGCCTGGACATATAGTTGTTTTCATAAATGGTGGTGGAGGAAGCGGATCTGCTAGCCAAGCTCTACAGGAAAGTGATCAAGAGAAAGACGCAAGGCGGTTCACTACACACACAGTACAATGATATAGCCCAAGCGTTTGATAACGTTGGCCACAATCGCATTCTTCACAAGGAACAGGTATGGAGCATCTGCTTCCTTTCTAAAATAGCCGAGCGACTGCCTGTCAAACCGTCATCTCAGGGCAGTTGTCATTGGAAACAACACGAATGGCTCATCAACTACGAATGATGGCAGCTGGGTGCAATTGGGAGGTGCTCTATGGGGAGAATGATACTGGCAGAATACGCCAGCAAGGAGATCAGCCTTTACTAGATCACCTATGGTCGTTGATACTCCGTCTGTCAGATTGGGAATAGGAGCGTGCGGCTTGGATAAGTTGCAACGGTTGTTTTGGCTCTGCGCCACTACATGCACCCTCCACGATACTGTTCTCTTCTCTGGAGATGTTCTAGCCAATGTGATATCATGATTAGTACATTAAACTGCATTTAGGATGTATTTTACAATATAATAAATATACATATCTCTTATTGGCCACAGGCCATCGTGAAAATAAAAGACTTCAAAAAAAATACATACACCCCTGTAAAGACTCTCCACTGTGCAAGTCCCTAGAACGCTGCAATGCCCTCCCTGCTAGCATTCGTGACGTTCCCTTCCGGCCTGCTTTTATACAGGAAACCTGCTCAATGCTGATTAACTCAATCTGCTGCTGCAACGCTCACCCTCTCCCATACTTGTAAAGTGCAAAGTGATGCAACTCACTTTCAAACTGCATAACCCACAGCCCCACCCACAGCATTTCACCTTCTCATGAACGTATCTCTTACTGGCAATGGTACCATTGTGATAATAAAGAATTTAAATAATGTGCTGCGAAGAACGGAACAGTTCTGTCCGCAGATTGAGTACATAGTGCATTGCATAAACGCAAACTAATCATTATTGGGGGCTGTCAAAATGGAATATTTAAATATTTGAATTATGTAAAAACGGTGAAGACGATGTGCAATAAAACGATGAAAATATGAAGAAATGGTGTAGGGAAAAATATGGATTCAAACAAGTTTTCGTACAACACTCATCAGGAATCGTCGTTGTACTAAAGGACACTGAAACAAAAATTGAACTATTATAGAAAATCTAAGTTAGAGAAATAACACTAAGAGCAACAACAGTGAAATTTACAAGTGTGAATTTTAACAATCAAAGCGAGAAAGTGTCTTTTAGTACATTGACGATTCCTGATGAGTGTTGTACGAAAACTTGTTTGAATCCATATTTTTCCCTACACCATTTCTTCATATTTGAATTATATTTTGACAAAGTCATCAGCATGTTGCAACCAGTGCAGGTCCTGATGAAAGATTTTGAAAGGATAGTTTGTTTGCCCCAACAAAACAAATAATATCTTTCTTCTTGGTTTGTGTTCAGTTGTATACTGCGATGTACCTGCTATTGCTAATGGAACAGCCGACAAGACATCCGTCATGTTTACACATAGTGTAACATATTCATGCAATGAAGGTCACCCGCAGGTGGGAAATCCGACACAAAGTTGCCAAGCTAATGGAAAACTCACTTCAGTCCCTTCCTGCGCTCCCAGTGAGTACAACTGTGTGCACGTGCCTTGAAAAGTGCGCCATCAAGTAGTCGATTGTAGTTGCTTGAGTAGAACACATACCTGAGTATATTGTGGATGCCTTTTCTGATCAATTTTTCTACAATTCATGGCAAATCTTATCGAGGCTTTCCTCTACAGTCATTCTAGCCATTGTGATAGTGTTAATTGTACAGGAGACTGTATTTAGGATGTATGTAACCGAATATTATTATTATGAGCAAAGTAAACTGGTGCACGTGTCAAACACCAAAGCAGCAAAGGTCAGTTCCAGAACGTGGTCTTGTTATATTCATCAATTGAATATCGTGACTGACAGAAACGAGGTAAACAGCAGTACGATCTTATCCACTTGAGTTTAAGGTGACAGCGTGAAAAATAGTAGTAACAAATACCATAGAATCCCGCCGATAAGCCCATGGGATTATCTGTTTCACGAGGACATTCCGGTGGGCTTATGATACAAGAACATGGGCATGGGCGTATCTGTTGACACTCAAATCGTGCAAATGAAAAGTACCAAGGAAGTGAGGAGTACCTTACTGTAAGCCACTGTGCAAACTGTGCAAATAAAAACAACCGATGATTGTGTTGAAAAGTTAAAAAAAATGTGTAAATAAAAAGTTCATACATGTAGTAAGTACAGGGTCCGAACAAGAGTCACATTTTTTGGAGGCCTCTTTTACGGGCATACGGGCAAATTAACACAATGGTTTAAAATGCAATAAATCATACACTGGAGAAGAAATCAGAAACGTGCATGTGTAAAATAAAGAATTTTAAACCCAAACCAAAAAAACTGCAAATTTTTTTGTTATAATTAAAAATAAAACTCAATCAATAAACTCAAGAGTCACTCATTTTACCAATGCATTTTCACATAATATTGAGCCCCAGCCAGCAGAAACCTGAACATGTGTAATTTTTTCAAAAATTATTTTTTCCCTCGAAATTGTTTCTACACTATTAATCACTCAAGGTATCAAGTTTGGTGGCAATCTGATAAGCGAAAGCATGAAAAATAGAGTTTGAAGTCACACAGGTCAAGATTCGGTACAGTTGGCGCCGCATCCATGCCTAGTGACTCCATGCAAGTTGATCCTACAGTTTCTAATTGTGATGTGGAACAGGTACATGTAAGTAAACAGAATGCAAGTCAGGCTTGCCCTCTTGGTGCAGCAGGCATGAGTAGTTCAGAAGTGTGACGATATTCCGTATACATCACTACCTTCTTTACAACACCAGAGTGCAAAACGATGATTGGTGGCTGGCCTTCCAAATTGTGTTCAGGGACCTCTGTGCTGGCAGTTTGAGTGTTGTCCCAAAGCTTGCCATACTGATAGATGTACTGACCAATACCACTGACATCCACTCCCTTGCACACTTTCACTCAGACCATGATTTCAGCATAATTGTATTTCAATGATATGAGCGAATACTCGCGTTTTGTAGCACGTGAAGATGTTGCCCCAAAGCGTTCAGCCTGTTAGAGTTTTTAGGGATCCCCTTTCTCAGCACAGGCAGCAGCCAGCTTGGCGTCGTCTGACAAGGTAGAGTACTGATAATACTACGCTGTTTTGCGCCGTGAGAAGCCCTCTATCAGTGTCTGCAACATCATTGTTGTCGATGTAGAAAATACTAGAAATACGGATCGCTCAGCGGGTCGACATTCAGCTTCTCCTCGCAGTCGCTATTACTCCAGCACTGACTATCGTCGTCACCAGTATCCAGTGTCGATTTCATGAGGGCTCTTCATTGCTATGCATATGAGACTCGCCACTGCTGGACAAACTCAGCGAGATCGCCACCAAAGAAATAATTCCGATCGCGAACTAACTTTCAGCGCCGCTTCGTACAGGGAATCTCACGCTGACAACTCTGGACCTAAGCCTTTATCGCGACACCTGTCGCCATCGCTGTGTCTAAACTCAACCTCCGTGTGACGAGCTCTCACCTAGCGCTAAAATCAATTGACCAGCGACATTTGAAGACACTTGAAACTCCTTTGACAACAAAGACACCCACTCGATCGAAAAAGAATCTTCAAAAGCCAGCTCACTGCGCGTCCCAAACTTTGACGTCACATTTTGATGATTGATATCAAGTACACAAGTGCTGGTTTTCGCTGGCCGGGGCTCATATATGTTTCACACTACTATGCTCAGAACTAGCCTATCACTCTGCCCTGTTTTGCGTATTGTCCATCTTAACCTTAGTTGTCATAGTCGAAGAGCAGGGCTGTTTTACGGAGGCGTTTGGTTTTGCATGATTCTTGTTCGCATAGCTTCCCCTTTAGCCCTTTGGAGCTGATCGTTCGAATTCGAACGATGCCAATGTCATGTGTGCAAGTGCACTCAACGAGTCATAATTCAGTCAAATCGCAACCGAATTCAACCATCGGAATACCTACGAGGTAGCAGAGAATCTAAGCTGTCGGCTCGATACGAGCAAGTATAACAGAGCGGCAAGTGCTCGAACGTTCGCTCGATTTCTCATGCGTCAGCGAAGTGCAAATTTCGTTCAAAAGAGGGATTTTCCCTCTTCCTGCCCACGCAGCGTGTGACATCACTCCCAGCGCTTTTTGTCACGGCTTTTGTGAGTCTGTTAGAAAACATTTGAATGATTTTGAGCTAGCAAGAGTGAAATTGCGAGACAAGGACTATTGCCGTTTTGGATTTGGTATTCAGCTGGCGTTCCTGGCAGTCAGTAGCAGACAGAAATCGCTCTCCTGAATAAGTTTGGGCTCGCTGTTATCCTCGTTCCAAGAGCTTTCCAACGAGCTCAAGATCGTCAAAATCGGTGAAGTAGAAGCAGTGTTATGATGGAGATTGGAACGAGTATAGTTGCAATTGCAGCTATCTCTTGGCGTGGTGTGATTTCCAAAGGGTTAATATTAAGAGATCGCCGCAGCTTTGAGACACAGAAATTGTGCGTAATCTTGCTTCAGGTCCTTGAATTGTCGTTTAACTGTAGTGTCCAATGGTCTTGCCAATGTCGTCATCGACATGAATGTACATCCGCCAACGTCCTTCAGACCTGATATTTTCAGCTAGCGCTTGCCTTGGTTACAACCTTCCAAATTCTTCACTAACTCGAGGTGTTAGTGGACATTATGGCGTAAATTGTAGTTCATTACTCCTTTTTCTTTTCTATGAATTGAAAGATTTGAATGTGTTTGACTAACTCATCAGCATGTTACAACCAGTGCATTTCCTGGTGAAAGATTTTGAAAGGATTGTTTGTTTCCTGCCAACAAAACTATCTTTCGTTTTGTTTTGTGCTCAGTTGTATACTGCGAACCGCCTGCTATTGCTAATGGAACAGCCGACAAGACGTCCGTCATATTTACAAACAATGTAACCTATTCGTGCAATGTTGGCCTCGGGCTTATTGGAAATGCGACGCCAAGATGCCAAGCTAATGGAAAACTCACTTCAGTACCTTTCTGCGATGCCAGTGAGTACAACTGTGTACGTGTGCTTCGAAATACCATGAAAATGGTGCCAGCAACTGAAATACCGTGTTTGCTGGAATATAATGGGCACCCGAGTGTTGACCCTTTCTGATCAAGTTTTCGGCAATTCAAGGAATAACCGGAATTTAATGCGATAATGGAATTCAGAAAATTCTCGACTTAAAAAAAAGAGCACAGTAAATCCTGGTGTAAGCCACCTCTGGGTTTAGCGACCACCTGCTCTTAACGACCGTTTTTCCATGCACGGACAGTTCTGCACAGACACTGTCGGAACTTGTTCTGAAGACCACCTGGCCATCACGCGTTTGCTTGCACCGCGGGGCGGTCGCTTAAACCAGATTTTACTCGATACATAATTAGTAAAGTGTAGGGAGTTTAAAGGGGAAGTTAAGGCAAAAATTAAAATTTCACCAGTTGTAGTCTTCGGGGTGCTGAGTCGAATGGTCTTGGTCCGAGAAAGCTGAGACGCTCCCTTCCTACTTGAATCCCAATCGAACTCGCGCACTTCCGACGAAACTGGGTGACTGCGCCCTACTAGATGGGGATTTATATGCAAAATCTCACTAAAAGCGCCATTTCGTTCATATAAAAGCACGGATGACCGCGATTGGCCCATATGTTGTAGTCTTTTGGACGCTGATTCGACTGGTTTTAGTCCGAAAAGGCTGCGATGCAGCGTTCCTCCTTTATTCCCAATCGGACATGCTTGAACAAGCGGTCACGTGCTCCTGGGTGCCCAAATCACCTGGTCACCACGCCAGCAGGCGACAACTTTCACACCAAGGTTCAACTCGAGTGACAGGACTGCACCCAAAAAAGGTCAAACAGGCTAGTAAGTTGTACCCTGCAGGCACGGTGACCAGGTGAATGGCGTACGCATTAGCACGTGACCGCTTGTTCAACCATGTTCGATTGGGAATAAAGGAGGAACGCTGCATCGCAGCCTTTTCGGACCAAAACCAGTCGACGCAGCGTCCAAAAGTCTACAGCATATGAGCCAATCGCGGTCATCCGTGCTTTTATACGAACGAAATGGCGCTTTTAGTGTTATGTTGCATACAAATCCCCATCTAGTAGGGCGCAGTCACCCAGTTTCGGTGGAAGTGCACGAGTTCGATTGGGATTCAAGTAGGAAGGGAGCGTCTCAGCTTCCTCGGACCACGACCATTCGACTTAGCACCCCGAAGACTACAACTGGTGAAATTTTTATTTTTTGCCTTAACTTCCCCTTTAAAACGAGAAATATCCACCCGGACTGTCACTAGAGACCCTACAGTCCATTCATCGGAAACTGTCCCGCTGGCTTTTGAGAGTCCGATTTGGGCTGAATTGAGGATCAAAACCCCACTTTAAATCGCAAAAATCTCGGTTTTGGATCTGCTTCTCCATACATTTTGCCATGGCATACCTGTCCTAATTTTGTAAAACCTGGCTGAATTTCTATTTCCCTGTTCTTGGCCTTTTCTGGCCTCAAATGTGGCAAGGAGTAATTGCACGGGTCACACAATGCAGGATGTACTGTTGTTTTCACGACATCTACAACTATGTGCGGGAGACACCAAAAAGTCAGGATTAAAGTTTCCAATGAATGGACTGTAGCTTTTATCTAGCGGTGCTTTGACTTGTTACCGCTAAGCTATGGTGTTGTCGTCATACAAAAAACGACAGTTTAACATTTTCTTCCGACGACACTACTGCTAGCACAGTTCGACTATTGATTTACCCCAAAGTACATTGCAATTTGTCTGGAACTCGAACTCAGCCACATATGACACGTGACTCCAACACTCCAACACAGGTCTCTTCACTGTGAATACATAAATGTCCCACCATTTTTCTTTCGGTCCTGGCCCCTCGTCACCGCATGTTGGTGCGAGGTTTCGTAAATGTATCGACAAATTTATCCTGAAATTATCGATTTGTACATACACACTTCAGAGGAATCGAAAGCGTTTCTGCTGTAACTCTGAGTTTCACCGTTTTTACCGATCATCAGACAGCAACTTGACAACATTTTTCAGAAGATCAGATTTATATAGGCTACAAGCTTGGATGGTACCGCGAATGGATGATCCGGGCTGATAGTGTTATTATGAAAATGTGTACATCGGTATGTGTTCCCTATTGGGTCTCCCACCCATCATGCATTTCAAGTGCATTTGTCAATAGACAAAACAAATGCATACATCATAGCTTGCACAACGGTGGCAAACTTCACAACTGTTTGCTGCATTGCACTACTGACACAACTGCATGAAATCCTCATAGTCGCAGCCTAGTGCGCACCTGCTATTTGGGATCTGAAATAGTGCATTTATATAGAACACTATACACTACTTCAACAAATACAGTACAACCCGAACATCACCGACAGCAGTAATGTTTTTTTGTTTTTTTTGCGGTTTCTAAAATGGATGTTGGCAATTATTTAAGTCTGCTTGGTTTTCACATTTTTCGTCACAATTTGCGGTTTTCCCGAATAAAACTTTGTAAGTAGTCCTGTTCCACAGACGCTCCGTGATTTTCATACCATCCGCCTTTCTCCTGTTTCGCATGTGGTGTGCTCCACAAACTGGCCGCGTTGAGCGCACGGTGAAGAAAACACAACAGAGTGTTGTCACTATGTATGCATACGGTATGGAACAGTAGTGTGAAACTGGAAAGTTTAAAACAACCGAAACGTTAACTGTCACATGGAAATTGTGGGCACAAGTTATGCGATCAAGTCCACCTACTAAACTAGATTTTGAACAATGAGACGTGCACAATCTAGCACAAAACTGACAAGGAATGCTGAGACACTCCACTGCACAATTTTAATTTCAATTTCCATGTTACAATTATTTTTTTCCTTGGCTCACCATCAGAGTTCTTAAAAAGTTAACCGTTTTGTAATTTTGGCATGATAATGTGCAGAAAGTCTAATGATGCTTCTGCAACAGAAAAAACATGCATCGATGTATGCGCATCATTACACAGACATCTCAAACCGGGTTCTTAATAACGTTTCTTTAAAAACATCGAAAAATGATCCTTAAAACGTTAGATTTTGTGACTCCTTAGACTTTCCAGTTTCACAGTACTTCGAAAGACAGGATTATGCCACTGATGGCAACATGCCAGGGTTGCACTCATAACATACAATGCAGCGTGGGAATCCCTTTTCGAAGGTCCTGGTTTCTGTTGTTCGGTTGAGGCTCTGCTCTGACAGGAACACTGCTGTTCCGTAGTCGTAGGGGCCCAGAGGAGCATCATCACTGACTCCAACAATACGAACTTAGAAGTTGCGACTACCGCCATCCGGTATTAGAGATGAAGCTGATGGTTATCTGTAACTTATAACATCCTGGCTTCCCTCATCACGTATGCAATGGAATGCAAGCTTGCAGGGGAACATTATAATATAATTATGGTAGTTTTGTTGTTCAACTGTTTTAGAATTAATGGCTCCCTCGAAGGTATTGAGCACTTCTATGCAGTGGGTCACTACCTGCGTTTGTTATACATACACTGCTGCTGATTTCCTGCAGCTAAAGTGATTTCATCTGTGTATGTATTCAGATGCTGCACTGACCGGTCACCAATATTGCTCTCAGGTTTCGGCAGTCCTGAAACGGACACATGACTACAAGTACTTCAATTATACAACGGCCAAGGCAGTGTGCCACGGTCAGGGCGGAACACTTCTCACTCCAGCAGCATACGACTCTAACTGTACAAAAGAAATCCTTCCTGGTAATGGTGAATATCAGGCCTGGATTGGCACGATTCCGTTTAGATCACGTGGATGGAAAGCTCTCACTACACAGAAAGGAGCGGCACGCTATCCCAACAGTTCAGTGGACACGCCATTATATGTCGTATGCGAATTCCGTAAGTTGTCCACAGTTTCAAAATGGTCAAGGATGCTTAACGCAGCGTCATTGCACTTGAATAGCTTGCAGACAACCTCAATGGAGCACTGCACTACACACAAATCCATTAGAAGGATCATTTCAATGTTTCCGTCTTCATGACCATCATCAGTAATGAAGTGGACATGCTTGGATAAAAACAGCAGAAGAAAAAAAGGAAGCCTAACCAGAGCGGGCCTAGAAAAGTGCAAAACACATCGTGGCGAATGCAGATCCACAGTTTGTGTAAGAAAAGGCTTTGTCTACCAAATATAGGCAGGTTTTTTTCGTCTGGTTCACTCCTTGCTTTCTTCTCAACCTTCGAAGGGCATCATAGCCAGCAATCGCATGTCATCACGTACATTGAAAATCAACATAATTTTGCAAATCGACCTTTTTTTCAGGATCACTTTTCAACGAGGACGAAGCAAAGTCGGCCGAACGAAGCCTAGAGGAAGAAAATCACCCTCTCCACTTCACCATCACGATACTGACATAGATACGAGATGAAACAACTAAAAAATCCACAAGAAAACTGTACGACCATCATCGCGCTGACTTTGGTCTGACTTTGGGCTGAGAATTTCTATCATGATCAAAAATGTACGAGGAGCACTCAAAAATCAGCCACAGACGTACATGATCGCTCTCTACTCCTTTTTCAAGACACAAAAGTCGACTCTCCACTTTCAAACCAGGAACCAGACATACCAGTGGTCCTTTTCAGCTGCTCCACGAGCGCAGGAAATGTTCACCAAGGGGCGCAGAGCAGTATCCATTCCAGAAAAAGAGCTAAAATACGAGTGAGACTGCATGCCTGAGTACATGAGTACATGTATGAGTACATGCAGAAAATAGTCAATTTCAGCGTTTCTGCTCCAAACAGCAACTAGCTTCGACTAGAAACAAAGATTACACCAAAGGATCAAACAACAACCATTTTCTGCAGTTTTTTTTGCAGATAGCTTCCTTGTGCTTGGCCCAGCACGCCAAAAATCACACCTCGGAGGAGTACAAAAATTACAACTCTCAGATGTCCTCGATTCCTGGCCATGTTTGACAGCATTTTTTCTTTCCCAGGACGAATATGATTGTAAAGAGGTCTAATGGCATGCTCCATTAACCTTGAACTGCCTTCTATATGTGAGATCAAACTGTTTCTGGCACTGTGTTCTTTTGTCCTCGATCACAGCTTGCCATCGTTCAGCTCAAGGTCAAGATCACATCCGTAGCATATCAACAGGCGGTGTTGTCACATGTGATGTTGGATACTCGTACAGTGATCCAGTGTGCTCATCCAGCTCACAAATTGACAAATGCCAGGGTATGTATAAAAATTAATAGTCATTGTTATGTGAAACAATCATTTGGTCGAAATGTTGCTACCTATCTCCCCTCTGTGAACGATACTGATGAAGCAAAGTAATGAGGCAACATAATAATGCCAGGTCACTTTGTTTTGCTGTTTTTTTGGGTCTACCGGTTGTTAGCGGCCGTCGGTGGTTCCGCGAGGAGTTAAAGTAATAATAATTCCACTATAACCTGCGCAAAATGATGCTTAAAAAGGACTAGGTTTCCACTTGGATTCTTGCCACGTTAACTAAGTATGTTTGAGCGAGGACAATAAGCAGAAGAGGGTAGGATGGCGAGGGGTTAAAGTCATAATATTTCCACTCCGCTGGCTTTATCAAAATGGCCAGTATGGATCTACAGTGACAGGGGGGTCAGATTTCCGTAGCCAGCACTGTAAATCCTTGGGCTAGTTTGCTTCCCGACAACAAAATTATCTTTCTTGTTTTGTGTCCAGTTGTATACTGCGATGTGCCTGCTATCACTAATGGAACAGCTGACAAGACATCCGTCAGATTTACACATAGTGTAACCTATTCATGCAATAATGACCTCCTGCTCGTGGGCAATCCGACGCCAAGATGCCAAGCTGATGGAACACTCACTTCAGCACCTGTCTGCGATGCCAGTGAGTACAAATCTGTGTGTTTGTGTCTGTGTGTGTGTATGTGTGTTTGTGTGTGTGCGTGCGTGTGTGTGTGTGCGTTTGTGTGTGTGCATTGAAAAGGGCACCTGAGTATAATGTTTTACCCCTTTTCTGATTTCTAGGCAATCAAAGAGAATTCACATCGCCACAGCGAACCCATTTCAGTCTTCAATATGGAAACTTACCCTTTTTATAGAAGAGAAAGGGGGACCAAGGAACTACAAGTTACGCTATATTGTCCACTAACACCACCAGTTACTAAACAATCAGCTCATGCGATACCATTGCACGACACTTAACAACGATACTGACGTTCTACAACTAACTGGTTAGCAGCTCTAGCACATCTTCGATATAACCCCCCACCCAATGTCCAATGGTCTTGCCAGTATCGTCATCGACATACATGAACATCCGCCAACGTTCTTCAGAGTTAAGACTTTCAGCTCGTGCTTATCTTGGTTGCGCTCACCTTCCCCTCCTTATGCTATTTCCATAACTTAGAACCTTCCAAGTTTGAAGGCTGTTGGAGTGCGCATCCAAGATGTGCTAGAGCTGTAAGCCAGTTAGTTGTAGAACGTCAGTACCATCGGTCAGTGTCGTGCAATGTTATCGCACGAGCAGATTGTTTAGTAATAATTAATGGTGGTGTAAGTGGACAGTATAGCGCAAATTGTATTTCCTTGGTCCCCTTTTTCGTCTATAAATGAATCCTTGGCTCTCTATCTGAGTATATTCCTGCTTACCTTTTACGTCGAAAATGATACCCTTTTGCGAGGTTTTTTCCACAGGCCATGGGTATGGCCAGTATTGTCCAGCTCGAGTATCGTAGGGCCAAACATGTAGCCTTTGTTATATGAGCTGCGGGGAAGAACGGAATTGCTCATGCCAGCACCGGCAATACACAGCATTGTAATCATTTCAGTGCCAAATTCACTAAATGCCCGATTCGAAGATCCTAGATCCTGTAACGTTTGCTGAAGAATTAGCTAAACCTCTCCGCTTGAATGATGAAGTGGCTCAGGTAGAGAAACTTCTGATCGAAGCATGAATGCTGCCAGAGCATCTATGTCATGGAGTTGTCTGGCGACTGCAGATTAACATGAACTGCACTAGTCGAAAACGAAGCGAAACAGCAACGTTTTGTTCGTGTTGCGCAACGCGTGCGTAGGCTGCCACGCTCGATTGACTTCCGCTGATCTGCGCGATCGTCGTTGATCACGACTCGACTTTTTCAAATGTTACCCCTACTTTCTTTATTGCTATCTACAGGACAGCTACTGAAGGGTCTCTGTACAAAGAAACAGGCACCTGCGATGTACGTGACCGGCTCTGTGCTCGATTTTAGTATGCACTGTCAGCATAGGTCGAAGTCCACCTACCGGCACCTAAGGTTTAACACTATCACTATTCTACTTTTTCTCTGATCCACTTTGTTCCTGAAAACTCCAGGGGCTCAGCCTCCAATGTCCGGGTTTGTTCCAAAATATGGTCGGTGCACGCTCGCACTTCAAACTCTGCAAAGAACGTTCCTCTTTTGTTTCAAGACCTGAGCAGCCTAGCCTGCATGATCTGCACTGACAGACATGCCAGGCACATACCGACTGATCGAACTGCACGGTATGCAGAGTCTAGAATTCCTGAGCCGCCGAACGTTTGCTTGGCCGGAGAAGATCTTTTTCCCTTTTATCCAGGGACTTTAAAAGAAATCCAGGGATTCTGCATATCTTGTCAAGGGCTGGTCAGTTTTCATTCGCACTTGGGAAATTCTGCGGGATTCGGGAGGGGGCTGGTTTATACAGTGCTGGATTAAATATACATGACTGTCCCGCCCAATTTGCAGGGATTGTAAGAGAAATCTGGGGATTCTCCATATCTTGTCAAGGGTCGGTCAGTTTTCGTACTCGGGGACTTCTGCGGTATTCGGGAGGGGATGGTTTATACAGTGCTGGATTAAATATACATGACTTTGCCGCCCGATTTCCTGCTGTTTTCGCCACAAACTGATCGTGTTTAGTCCACCGTGAGGAAAATACCACAGAGTGGTGTGTGTGTGTGTGTATATTTGGAATCACACTTGAAAGTACATTGCTAAGACAATGACGGCGGCATTCTGATGAGTGGTATGCCCTGGTTTCACTCTTAGTTATAACCAAAAACATGCCCTGGGACAATGGGTGTTGAAAGGCCCTGATTGATTTTTTCTTGGGTTTCTTGACAACAACATTTTGTTTCTATTTTGCTTTCAGCTATTTGCGATGTACCTGTTATTGCTAATGGAACAGCAAACAAAGAATCCGTCAGATTTACACAAAATGTAACCTATTCGTGCAATGATGGCCACCCGCTCGTGGGAATTGCGACACCAAAATGCCAAGCTGATGGAACACTCACTTCAGTACCTTTCTGTGATGCCGGTGAGTTCAAATGTGTACATGTACCCTGACAAGGGCGCCAGCAAGTATAGTGATGTATTTGCTTGAGTACTGTATGTCAACATATATTTGACAGCAGTGCAGGCCAAAATCTGATGCGGACTAAAATGGTTTTCAACCCTGGGAAGCCGAAATGTGAATGGGTCGAACATTTGTAGACTTATAGTACTTGCTGAGTACTGCATTGGGTAGACAGATAGTTTAACATCTGAGCACCTGAGTATAGTGCTGAAACCATGGTGGGTTTTAAACGTTGGATTGCTCTTCAACTGAACGATCCGTTTATCGATGATATTATCGTTAGCAAAATAAATATTGTCAGAATTTTGTTCAAAATTTACTCTGTTTCAACAAGATTATGTGTTTCACACT